ATTCACTGATCCGTTTACGTGCGTGAAAATTAAGACGGCTATTTCTCAAGCTTTTGTTCATGCCTCTTATATTCTCTCTGGACTAGATGTTAATGTTGTTTTCAAAAAATTTTAAAAAACTGCGATGAAACAAGTTAGTTCCTTCGTGCACAGTTAATCTTATAAAAAAATCAAAGTGCTCTGGTCGTATCGCAGTTGCAGCTATTCGTCTGATAATCAATAAAGCTACAAGGTTCGGATGTGAACGGGATGGTCTTCACCCATACCCATACCCAAATCCTTTACTTGAACGAAAAGTATATGGAATTAATACGGTGGTGTGAGTGTGAGTTTCTTTTCTAGTCACCCACACCCACGCGCGCAAAACAAAAGTTGTTTGTTTGACTATTCTTCCAACATATCCAAACCAGTAACATACATCCATCACACTTAATCCTCGAACAATTTTCAATTGTTCTGTTCGGACTTTTTTACTTTTGATTATGAAATATAATATATATATATATTATCTACATATAAAGTGAAAAGTTTTGTTTTAATTTTGCTACTTCTCGAAGCTTGTTTTTTCCGTTTTCTGAAATACTACAATCTTGCATCCAAAGTTTTTTTAATGATTTATTATGTTGTAACATATAAATGATAACATCAATACTTGCATCACTAATAGATTTATTGACATGAAGTGATAATACTAATAAACTTGAATTTTGATGTGCTAATGTATTTGCTAATAATTGTACACCACGGTCACCAATTTGATTGCCAGCTAATGCTAACCATGTAATTGTTCGATTTGTTTTTAACATATCAGCTAAATGTTCAGCTCCTTTATCTGTAATACCATTTGATCCAAGACCAAGTGCTTTAACAATTGAAGTATTTAATGATAAAACTTTTGCTAATGAATGAACACCTATATCTAATACACGATTATTATGAAAATCTAATTCTTCTAATGTTGTATTCTGTTTTAATGCATCGGCTAAAATCGATGCACCTATTGATGTAATAGCATTATAACCCAGATCAAGTCTTGTACACTCTTTTTCAATCAATGCTTGTTTTACAATAGTTTTCATATCACGATCAAGTAATTGTTGTTTTGATAAATCAATTATTGTATGTGATTGACATTTTGATATATTAATTTCAAGTTGAAGATTATTATAAGGATATATATCTGAAATAAAACATGAAAAATAACAATTGATAATAATTTTTTTTTATTACCTTTTGTACCATTAATTTTATCTGTTAAAAGATTTATTTGAATTTCATGTTTATTACAACGTTCATCAATACGTATGATTTCATCGTTTTTACGTTGAATTTCAGTTTGTAATTCATTAATTTGAGATTTATTTTGCATAATTAATTCTTTTAATTGATCTTTTTCGTGATTTAATATTTTATTTAATTGTTCAATATTTGTATTTAAACGTTGATTTGTTTCTTGTAATTCTTTTATATGTAATTGATGCTGTTGTAAACATTGTTCAGACATTTTTTGAAGTGCTTCTTTTAGTTGACGATTATCTTGAAGAATTTCACTAAAGGCAGGACGAATTTGTTCATAAATACAAGACAAAGTATGTTGTTTTAATTGATCACTTGTTCCTGTCCATGGACATTTAATATCTACAGCTGTACAAGCAACAATTGCTTTTGGACATGATTTAGTAGAGTGTTTTTCATATGTACCACGTTGAATATTTGTCATGCCACAACGAGTACATTTAACAAGTAGACAATCGAGCATATTTAAAACAGTATGTTGTGTAACTGGTGTTAAATTTCCTAATGTAATTGATTTATTTTTACATTTTGGCTTTGCACAAGTTCCACCTGTTTTTTTAATTTTATTTTCAATACATACTCGGCAAAATGTATGGTTACATGGTGTTGATACAGGTTCAACAAGTGGATTATTACAGTACTCACAATTAAGATCTTTATTGATCGCCGTTTTGTCCATATAGTCATAATTACTAGTTGGTGCTGTTTTTGTCATTTTCTATAAGAACAAAAAAGTAAAAGCAAATATTATTTTACTTTATTTTAAAATCTCGAAATAAATAAGATTGCAATTATCTCGACAGTGTTATTATATAACCAGGAAACCGGGCAATGATTAAGAGAACATTTTCGACTTGCTGAATATATCATATAATTCATATGATTCTTTATGAACTTCATCTGACCAATAATCTACGTAAAGTTGAAGACCAGTTCAGTAGATTTATTTGACTGCTTTGTAGGATCTAGTGAATCGAAAATCTATAACTACCTTAAATGATGCTCTAGGCATACATTTGGTGTCGAAATAGAATATCCGGTCTGACGAGAGAATTTCTTCAGAAATCAAATTGCTTTTGGAGCGTGTCTAGGTTCATTCAATGAGTGTAAATGAGAAAACAAAAAGTCAAGAATGGTTTGGTTTTCTGGGCCTTCGCTCTTGAGATGATAAAATTTTACTGATTTTTTTTTCATGGAAAAGCTATGTTCCCTATAAAAGCCTGAGGTTCGAACTCGAAAGTCGACTTTGCAGATGATTTGAAGAGGACTACAGCTTTTTCTTGACAGAAATCAGCAAAATATTATTATCTCAAGAGCGACAGCTTAGAAAATCGATGCGAATAAAAAATTGGCAATAATAGAGCTTATTATTATTAAGCTATGATTATTGTTCAATTGGGATATTGTCGAAAATGACTTGTTTTGCAGTTTAAGAACTCCCACTCACATACCGATCTTGGGCCAAATACATTCAAATGACAACATGAAATTCTCGGTAGGCTTTCATTCTATATACTTAATTTGTTTTTGTTTGAAAGAGTACATCAGAATGTATGGAATATCAGAGCCCTATTTTTTTAAAATTCTTACTTCTTAGAGGAAGAAAGGTTCAATATCTCAAAAATATGGCACTCTAATTATAAAAGAACTCTGTTATTGCGTGATCAAAACCAACATATTTTTCAAGCTGATGACGATCGAAATTATCAAACATTTTCGTAAAAAAACGAGATGTCAAGTCAGAAATGATGTCGTCTACGAAATACCAGACTTCGGGCTATATCTTCCCAAGCATTTATCTGAACTTCGATTTTTCTAACGAAAGCCGACTTTTTGAGGAACGAAGCTTGGCAAGAGATGCCTCCATCTCTTGCATGTTATTTTAATTATCATTGGAATTTGATGGTCTTAGAAAAATCATTACAGCATTGATAATGTACGGCTTTGCACCAGTTTCTAGTGAATTATCGAAGTGATCGTTGGATTTCATCCGACAGCAAATATTTTTCTAGGAGAGATTCACTTTGGACCAGGCCTGATGGACATGAGGATTTCTTTCCCTACTTCGGTCCGATTTCAATGATTAGTACAGGTCAATGATTGCTTTAATAAGTACAACAATGACATAGTGAGGGGAAAATAAAACATGATAGACGAACTGTATTTTTTTCCAATGAAGAAAAACTTGACTTGGCTGTACTTCTAATTATAAACAGTTTTATTCGTATTATTTTCAATATATATAACTTGAATCTATATAAATGATAGTGTTACATATTATTAAAACAATTTTTTTTTGTCCACTGTTTGAAGATTATTTAATTAAGTTGTTTTACTATCAGAAAAGTTTCGATGATTTTAATTAGAAATTTCTTACTTTTTATTAAGAAAACTACTGTACAATAATTTTTGATCTGTTTTTAAGAAATAAAACTATTTGTACAAAATATTCAAACAAATCTTCCTTACCGATTAAAATTTCGTTTTGTTCTGACGATTGTGTAAGTGCACGTTTAGCAACTGTAATGTATTGACCAACTTTTTTTTTTACATACATTTTTGAAACATACATCAAACTCAGAGTTTGACGCATAATAATTCCATTAGACGTCGAATATATTCCAATCAAAGTTATTATTTTTTTTTACCGGTTCAAAAAAAACGAGAACATTATTAGGAAGACAACACGGGAGTGAAATGAAATTTTTTGTTCTCTAATATAGATGAATGAATTTTAATAAATAATATCTCATAGTGAGAGAATTAATCTTGGATTCAAAATTTTAAAGTGACAAGAAAACTCATGATTTTGGTACAATAATTGATATATCATTAAAAAATTTCGATTACCATACGCATCGTCTTTGTTCATTAAAAATAAAACTTTGTTTTTCATGTCTGAAATCTGAATATTTCAATAAAATTTGAGAAAATCCTATTGTACATGTTTTTCTTATTGTTTTTTATTTGTAAACATTAATAATAATAGAAGAACAATAAAAATATATTGAATCGATTATTTTCTATTTGCTAATTTGAAATAAAACTTAACGAAAAGAAATGAATTCGAATATTCAACAATGACGTCAAAATATAAACATATGTAACTATGTCGCTTGTTTGTGTACATGTAACCTATATTTTGTAATGTATTTTATTCTTTCTTTTTCTTCAAAAATTATTTATGACAATTGTAACAAATAAGTGCGTCCATTACTTCTAATAAAGTACAAATTTTTCAAAAGAATACTCTTCGAACAACAAAATGTGAACCCAATAAATGTTATGTGAAATAAAAAGAGCAGGGCTTTTTTTTTGTTTGAATAAGGACAAATGGATTGTTTTTTTTTTCTCTGATATTTACAGTATTGTGAAAAATAGATATATGTTTGCAGGTTGATTCCGCTAGACTGAAATTCACATGGCAAGTGATCATTTTTCGAAAGACGTTTTTATTTGGTAATGAATATAACGTTTGAACTTCCACTAGTTTGCAACATTTTCAATCGACTATATCGGATTGATTTTAATCTACTATAGATTCATTGTTCGCCATTATATAGATTTTTGTTTCACAAGGGACTCCTAATATGTACTTTTGATAAAAACATCAATTATTTGAATCCATCTTTTTTTTAAAATTTACTCAAAGTGTTTACAAACGTATTTTCTGTAAAAGAAAATTTAAAATCTGAAAAATTCAGCAAAATATATAACAATAACAAAAGGATGATATTATTTGCTCTTAAAATGAAAAACCATGTTTATGTTTAACTTTGTTTCAAAGTTATGTTTTATCAATTTTTGAAAAATTATATTCTCAAAATCTGTAGCGCTTTTAATGATCAGTTTTGTAAGAAGCATTTTCACCAGGGCTTCTATACATGAATTACAAATCATCTTATTGTTTTTAAGTTTTAATTTTTCAAGAATTTTATTAGAATAAATAAGATTATAAACGAATACTCGTATATCTCGATCATTAATATTATTATTACGTAAATAGAAATGAATTAACGTTTGATTTGCTTTAAACACTTCAAAAAGTTGTTCAGCTTCTTCATTTGTAATATTACTTAATCCTAGATCGTGTAATATTAGTCTGAAAGTTTTGGTTGAAATTGATTGAACTAAGTATTAACTACCTTTAATAATTGTTGAACAACGACTAACGTATCTTGATCATATAATTTCTTTTGATGCAATACTATTAGACGCGACGATCATATTTTTTTGATAGGACAGAAAGGTGTACCATGTTCATAATTAATCAATTCTTGCTCAATTATGAAACTTGAAACATGCATAGGAATTCACCACTATCGATAAATAACACATAAATAGTGAAGTTTGGTTATTTTTTAGTATACATATTTATTTACAATATAAACTAACCAACATCATCCCAAAGTATAGGAGCATGTATAAACGACTTTCTTATTGCATTTCCAACAGCTACATCGTGTTTCATACTTTAACCCCATTTCATTACCTTCAATTTTGAGAACATTAAATCATACGAAACCCATAAAGTATGAGCTCATATCTAGATGTGTAAACGGATACATAGAACACTGACAAGAACTTATCATAGAAAAACAGTATCTCTGAATTATGAGATTAGTAGTCGAAAATTTTTACAATCGTAGTACATATTACGGTAACATCTGACAACAACAACGGCTGAATCAATTCGATTTCTATTCTGCAGTTATCTCATAAACGGTATCTCTCTTTATCAATTTCATTCCTAGTTTACCAACAACGATATGTTCTTCTCAGATCATACGATGAAGAATGATTTTTATTTTATTTCGAAATAATAATGAAAATAGTTTTAACACACGTATATATATATATGACGACTAAACAGAAAAGGCTTCATTTAATATTGTCCAATATCATGTGCAATTGGTGATGATGGAGTCAAATAATTATTATCAATTGACGCAATAGGCATCGGTGGTTGCATCTGTAAAAATGATGTTGTTTCTTGTTTTGTATTATTATTAAAAGGATAATTGAAAGGAGCCATAAATGAATAATGACCCATCGATGATGATGATGATGATGTTGCATATGGAAAATAATACGGAGACGGTGGTGGATAATATGGATTCGGATAATGAGTAGTACCATCTGATAATGGAGGTGGTGATGATGATGAGCATGGAATATTAGCTGATGGTATTGGAGGATAGAATGTTGATAAATCGAACGGTGAAGTTGACGATGATGGATATGCAAGAACTAAAAAAAATCAAAAAGATTTACAGTCTGTGTCACTATCAATATTAGAATCAAAGTATTTCCTTGTAACTATAAAAAAAAATTAGATGACTTTTTCTAATAAACTATTATTCATATAAAAAACGAAGAGTTGAAGTTTTCAACATTACAAAGAGAAGAGTCAGATTGTTTTTATTTTTTATTCAATGATACACTGCTATATCTTATATGAACAAGAATATTTTCCATACATCTGAAATTGTTGTATCCGTCATTTTTACAAAAATGTAGTTTCGAATTTAAGGCTATCAAATTGAATATAAGAATTAAACGAGATCTATATCACAACGAACTAAACTATGACGGGTAACACATTTAAATACTGATTGTAGATTTTTATAATCTATAAGTTTTCTTATTATAGCTTTTCAACATTATGCCTAATTTTCCTTCGAACAACAATAGAGCAGAAAATGAGACTCTTTCATACCATTTGTTGGTGATGATTTTCGTTGTGAATGAGAATAACTATAAGGTGATGATCGATATGATTGCAATTTAAGTCGATCTGATCCTCCTGATGATGATTCTTGTGAACAAAACATTGAAGCGTGACTATCTTGTTCTTCTGCCATTTCTCTACTAGGAAAAAAAAAGAACAATATTACTTAAGTTACGAAAATAATTCATCATTATCATTTTTACCGTTTCGTATTTTCTACATCAAGAAATGCTTTCGCAAATGGATTATGTCTTATTTTTAATGCTTTGATCTGAAATAAACAAAAAATATATATATATATATATAAAAGATATTCAATGATACAAAAAAAAATTTTACTTCTTCATTTTGATAAGCTGTAACAGCAATGAATTCAGTTTCATCAAAACTTATTTCATAGATTTTCTGTTTTAATATAACATCAATTATAGAAATTTTTGGTTTATATTTATGAAGTGAATTAAGTATAACCTTTAAACAAAACAAAAAAAAGATTTACTATTTTTTCTTCTTATTTTCATTTTTTGTTTATTTACCTGAGATGAACACGAATGATCGATTTTATTTGTTAATTTAACTTTAGGAAATGATATCATATCTTTCATCCATGTTCCACCATAATTTGGTGAATCAGGATGTTGATACGGTGAACGTTGAGTTTGTGAATCAGGTTTCATACCTGGTTGCCATTTACTACTAGCATAACGCCAACGATGAGAATCAAGTTGATCGAATGATAATTCTATAGTATACATTTTATCTGGATCTAAACCACGAATATTTATTGATATAATTGGAAACATACGACGACCGACTTTTGTAACTCTAAAACTTCCTCATAAACAAAAGATAATTCATTAAAATATAGTGATAACTTACATCATTTCATTAGTTATTTCATGAAATCGATTCCATAAATCTCGATTATGTAAAGTAATACTAATATTTTCTTGATTATAATATTGAATTTGATCATGTTGATACTACAAATAGAGTATGTGTGAAATTTAATGTGAAAATAGAAGAGTTATTTAATCAACTTACCTGTCCTGAATACTGCATTTCAATTTTTTCGTTTACAAGTCACACAAAAGTGAGAGATCAGAAATGTGAATTCTGACAAATGTATGCAACATTTATTTTACATTTTTCTCTATCATTAACCAATAAGAATAAATTCTCTCTCGTTTTTTCCTCTTCGTTTAATTAACAGACAACGAAAACCAATGAATGAACGTTTTCTTTTCTCTCTTTTGTCAAAAAAAAAACAAGCTCTTTTCTTCGTAGATTAAGACAGCCTTTTTTCTCGTAGCCTTCATCCTAGCCGCGGCAACTTCTCTTTTCTGTTGACTCGGTTCGGAGAGACCTTCAAATTTTGGTACCGTTCTTGCATATCTCTAGAAATGTGACCTAATAAATGCTAATCGATCCACGATGAAATGTAATGAAAAAAAGCAGTTTAATTACAAAATTGTAATATGGTTATAGACATTTGGGAAATATTGAATTGTCTTTGACGTATATGATATTTCCAAAACATCAGAAGTCTAAATGAAAATTGTTGAATCGTATTCGACATTGTTTTTATTAGAAAAATATCAATAGATGAGAATTAAGTACCGATCGAAGTTACTAAAGACAATTCAGCAAACAAATTATTTGAATTAGATTATATGTTTCAATATAAATTCTAATTCATTTCATTGTAAAAACTTATAAATTAAAATCTATTAGTATATCATAATTTTCAATGAAATCCTAGAACTAGTTTTCTAATATTTTACATTAAATTTAATTAATCTGTATACATACAAACTCTAATTTTTTTCTCCTTTCTCCACAAGAATGGCATTATCCTTATCAATTATCGTTCTTCGTCTAACAAACGCAATTACACACCCTCATATATCAATTATACAGTGGTCGATATTGTTATTCGTCACACACTATTAATTGGCCTGCCATTGATTTATGATCTCAATAGTAGGTAGTAAAACAAGCTGAGATTTTTTTGTCTTCTTCTCTCATATCTATGTCAATTGGTCTACTGTTTTCCATGAAGAATAATATTTCAAATAGAATTTGAAACTTACAGAGAAACGAATGGGTAATTTGTTCAACAGATAATAAAAACTATAAAATTTCATTTATGAAATTTTTTTACCGGAAGAAGAATTAATGAAAATAACCTTTAAAAGACTGATTTTTCAACCAAAGAAGAAAAAAGGATGGAAATTAATTGATGCAATAAAATATTTATATAAAGTGAAATTAGTACCAAAATCTGCGAATAGTTTGTTCTTAAAAAAAAGTTGCGTAGAATAATGTTAAAGCAGTCTGTTATTTTTCTATAAGTTGAATTCAATAAGTTTACCATAATGATTAAAAAAATCAAAAAAGAGAGTTATTAACATACGGAACAATATCGTATAATGTTATAAGCATGTGATTTCTCAGCAAGTAGTATAAACACAGTTTTCCTCAGTTTACTTAGAAAACAGAAGATATTTTCGTTTAAAAAGTTAATTTGATTGTAGATATATCAACCATTATTAACAAGAAATATGAAAATTATTTTTAGACATTAAGTTCCTTTTTTTTTGTCTATTCAGAGTTGCTAGAAAAATTATTTTAAATAGCTTTACAGATCAAATATCATTTTCGCATTTGTAAAGATGAACTTAAATGTAGATCAGTATACATCTCATTCTTTGGACTAGATTGATAGTCGAACAAGTCTTTTTTTCTGTCTATCGTCTTGAAATATGCTACTAACAGAAGAGAAAAATATCAACTATTGAAATTATTTCCATAATAGTGAAAATATAAAAGAAATTTTGTGTTTTGAATTTGTGCTTTCAATTGAATGCAGAATTAAGGTTTTGTAGCACTCATATATATTTTCGAAGAAAATAATAAGTAGAAGTTTTAAGTCAAAGTTGTCAGGCTTCCCACTCTTTCTCTATTACAGATCTTAGTAATCGAAGTTGAAGGTAATTGAATACGTTTCAATAGAAATTACATGTGTTAGCCAATCTTGTTAATACTGTTGTCACTCGTAGTTACGTGGGCAATGGGATTTACATAAATAGTAACATAGGTTGAAGTTTTAAGATCAAAGGCTGTAGAATTAAGATACCAATATACAAAAATATATGTAATTTTAACATTTCAGCTTCACCGAAGCTATGCTAACAAGCTCTTTTTATATTTCTAATACACATCATTATAGTCGTGATGTATGTGCTATGTTTTACAGAATAATTTCGAGCTTGAAGAAAAAACATCAAATAAAATATTTTCAATAAATTCACAGATTTTATTGGCATGATTGATTTTCCATAAGACATCTAGTTCTAATTAACACATGATACTTGTGACAGAAATCAAAGCTTACATATATTGCCATTGTTTTTTCTTGAATGATATTTACTTGAAAGTGATTCAAAATACTATTAGAGTTATTCCAACAATAGAGAATATTTAAAGTTCTGTCAAGTACTGCTTTTAGAAAAAAATGAATTCCTATACAATAGAGATCAACAGTTGACGTGAATAATAAGTGAATTTTTTCATGTTACTACGAAATTGTAGCTCATATTCTTCTTATCGTTCCAATTCTATGAATACAGTTCTTTTTTTAAATATTTGTAGAAGACAATAATTTTAATTAAAAGATTAATATAATAAAGACACTGACTGTACTTTTGATACAAAATCATCGCCTATCATATATATGTTAAAAGTATTTAGATGATGATTTTCGCTAATTTTTGCGACACAATGAGATAAAAATTTGATCAAAGTCGATCCGTTTCTGAACGCAATGCTTTCTTCTGGCCAGCTCTGTACGCAATCATCTTTGGCTTCCTATTTCCACTAGCTCACAATAGAAAAAGAGAACCGATATATATATATATACATAAACGAAAGCTAAGAAAGTAATTCTAATCTTTAGTTAACACACAAGTTATTTATAGGTGAAGTTGTATTAAAAAAGAATCAAAAGTGGTTCATCAATTATGAAACGAAGTGCTGGTTGAGATCATTGATGCACAATCTAGTCAATTGGATCATCCTATTAAAAGTAATTTAAATCAAGAAGATGAAAAACAAACTAATAATACAAGTTTATTGGATAAAGTTTCATCTGTTTGAAATCCTTTAATATCAGGTAGTGATGTATCACCAATATTAACATCTGTCGATGGATATCATCTTGGTGACATTTCTCATTGTCTTAATATTGTTGGTTATCCTGTTGTATCTGATAGTATAGTATTTGAAAAAAAAACATTTAATTGATCAAAAATTGTTGAACGTGCTGTACATGCGCATGTGGTAGTGGAGCATTTGGTTATTTTGAAGTTACATATGATGTTTCAGCTTTATTTAAAGCTGATTTTCTATCGAAAGTTAGTAAAAAAAACTTCAGTTATGGTACGGTTTTCAACAACAACATATGGACGAGAGTATCCTGATTCAGCTCGTAATCTACGTGGTATTGCTATGAAGTTCAATACTGATGAAGGAAATTATGATATATTATGTGTTAATTTTCCGGTATTTTTTGTACTTGATCCAACACAAGGGCTTGATGTTATACGATCATAACAACGTAATCCGAACAATTTTTTTGTGCTAAGTGAAGTGCAACATTTGATTTTATGCCACTAGTATTTGAAAGCATGTCAGCTAATACTTGGTTTTGGTCTGATCATGGAACACCTGTTGGCAAGAGAATATTTTAATTTAAAAAGGCAAAGAAAAACTTTCTTTTAATCAAAGGTTGGCGTCATATGGATGCATATTCATGTCATACATTTAAATGGGTTAATTCTCAGAATCAAAATATATTCATGTACGTTATAAATTTAGTTGTGTAGCTGGTATAAAGAATTTTTCTGATGCTGAAGGAATGCGTATGTGTGGTGAAGATCCAGATTATGCTAAAAATGATCTTTGGCAACATTTAGATAATGGTGAAACATGTGAATTTAAATTTCAAATTCAAATGACGAGTGAAGGTGAAATACACAAAGTAGCTGATTTTTATCCATGTGATGCAACTAAGATTTGGCCAGAAGAACGATATACATATTTGGAATTCGGACGTTTAATTTTAGATTGAAATCTAGAAAATTATCATCGAGATGTTGAACAGGTTGCTTTTTCATCTGGTAAATTTATAATATATTTATTAAATGTTTATAATAAACTATAAATTTTGATATTTTTTCGTTTGTAGGTAGTTTAGTACCCGGTATTGAACCAGGATCTAATCCTCTACTATTATTTCATTGTTTTCTTTATTGAAATGAACAATTATATCGTTTAGGTGTTAGTTTTCATCAAATTCCAGTTAATTATCCTTTTAGGACTCATCAATATCACCCGTTAGCTCGAAATGGACGATTAAGATGTGATGCAAATGGTAGTGTTGAATCTAATATTTATCCTAATTCATTTACTCAACCACCACGTGCTCGACTTGATTTAACATGTAATGAAAAACCTCAATCATTACAAGGATATTTAGCTCGAAAATCTCATTCTCATCATGAAAATGAATTTTCACCTGATACAGAATATGTTCAAGCACGTTAATTTTATTTACAAGGTTTAAATAGTGATGAACATGCTCATCTTTACTATAATATAACTCAAGAATTTCGATCTGTAACACGATCAGACATAAAAACTTCGTTTTCTTGTTGCATGCTATAAAGTTCATTCAGAATATGCTCGCGGTATATTAAAATTATTTGATGAAATAACATTTGATCAAGTCGAACAAGCTGTTAGGAAACTTCAAGATAAACATACAGTTGATCGTCTTAAGTGTTATGAACCATACGGTCTCAATCAAAGCTAAAAATCTTGTCCTTTTCTTTTAAATGTACATATTGATTCTTAGATAATATAAACTTGCTTTGAAATTCCAAAGAAATTAACGAGTGTTTGATTATTAATGAAATTTTTTTCTACATTGCCAATGGGAAATAATTTTTAGTTACAAAATGTAATGGGACCATATCCGACTGGTTCCCATCATATCTAACCATAGATCTCTGACACATTTGCGAAGTGAAAACAAATTCGACTAACTATAATAATAAGATCTAGAATGGGAAATGATATGCACTGTTTTATCAAGATATTTTCTCCAAAGGGACGAACAAGTTTCATTCTAGAAGCGCATACCCATAGTACCTAAAACATTGCTCATATGAGTTAAATGTTGCCTATGAAATAAATACAACTGTAGTAAATACTTCTCCGAGAAAATTTTGATTATTACTTAGGACTATCCAAAAGTAGTGGCGGAGACACTTTATTGACGTGAATATTCTTCAAATAATTTATAATAATAAAAATTTCGATACGAGCTGTGTTTCTATGACATATGATGGCTATACTAATGCCTATTTAAAAAAATAGGGCAATTGAATATTTTTTGATCTGACTGTTTTAAAGGTTTTCAATCGATGTCTTTAAAAACAAACCTAACCCATGTGGTGTGTAAAACGAATTTTTCAGTGTCAGATATGATTGAAATTGTTAATGGTAGATCTTAAAAAATGCACCAAGTTCACATATTTAGGATTAATTGTCCAGGAACTATAGGCATTCTAGTCCAAAGTCTAGGTGATTTTTCAAGCAATTTCTGCCAAGAAAATTTTTTTTTGCTATTTGCCGTCAGGTAAAAAGTCAATTTTTTCGTCGTTGATAAGATTGATTAAACAAACTTTCAACAATATACTAGAAAAATCTCTAATATGCAATTCGATATACCTTCATCTCTTAAGAACGATGAAAATTGCAGCATTTTATCTTGTTTCTATCGAAAGTTATTCCAAAAAAAATATCGAATCATCCTGTTTTTTTTTTAAATAGGCATTAGTATAACCGTCATATATCATAGAAAAATAGAGCATTCGATAGTCCTAAATATTTAAACAAATCGATAATACTGATCACATCTGTATCATTCATGATCAAATAAATCAAAATAAAAAATTTCAACAATCTTGAGCATTTCATTCGTTTAATTCTTCTTATTTATTTAATTTATTCTTGTTGTTGTTAAATTTCTTTTTCTTTGTCTATAATTAAGAACAACAAATATATATCGAGTGTGTATGATGTTATATAAAAAAGAAAAACAAAACGGAGACAACAGAAGATAAATATTTATCGATATTTTTTCTACGAAGATTTTGTTGATACAGTTGTTTTTGTCTTTGTAGTTGTTGTAGTAGCTCCATCTTTTTGTTGTTTAGTTTTTTTGGCTAAATTAACACCTGATAATCGTTTAGCTTTTAATGATGCATGAGTGCGTAATTTACGAGCTGCAACCTATAGACAAAAATTTCTTTTTTTAAATTCGAAATTAATAGAAAATATTTATACTTTTGATTCAGCTGTTGTGCCTGTACGTCGTCCTTTAAGTTGTTGTAAAAGTGTTTGACGTTTTTGTACAGCTGCATATGGATTAAGTCTTGACATTAAACCAATACTCTTCAATGGATTCTTCTTCACTTTACGACGTGCTTGACGTTTTCTATAATATTTTTATATTTCAAAAACAAAACAAAAAAATAATTATATAAAACAAATAAATTTCTACATACATTGGTGCACGAAGTACACTTTGAATTTCAAATGCTTTAAGTAAACGTCCTAAATCACTATTTGTCATCATTGGTTGTGGAAGACTAAAATAAACATTATAGGAATATATTCACGATTGAATGTGATATCTTTCGGAAATGTAGAATCTCTTATATGTTATAGCCTCATTTGAATTTTTTTTTTTTTATAGAGAATTATATTCTATTGAAAAAACAAAAGATTAAAATTCTCAAATGCGAATCAATGAGCCAATAGGAAAAGACAAAATACAAAAACACAATATCTTACTTGAAATCAACTTTAAGTTGAGACTTTTTACTCCATGTACCATAGAGTGCATCAAGTTTTTTAAAGGCTGATTCTGTCCAAATAACAAATCGACCAACATGACCACCTGGTGCCATACGAAGTAAATTCAATCGTTCAACACTTAATAAAGATACACCTAAAATAAAACATATATGATCATATACATATGCAGTCTTTAGTCAGATGACTATTTCTATTATAATTCAGAGTCATAAAGAAAAATAATAACTAAAATGGTATTATTCTAAAATAGAAGTATGAAATGGCAATGGCCAGCTGTTGGGTGCTCACACATTGAACTTAAATGTAAAGAAACAGTAGTTTTCTCTTTTCGAGAAATGTTAGACGTTAGCAAAATAATATAATGGCTTTTGACTTTTTTGCTTTCATCCTGGTCGAAACTGTGTTGTTTGGAAAAGGATGAAATTCCATCATGAACATTTTTTTAGTTTACTATTCAATTCAGATACGCTTGTTAGAACCTGAACAACTCTTATATAAAAAATTTGTTTGTATGTTGCTTTTGTTTCGTAGAATCGAGTTAAAGGAAAATCAACAAAAATTTTATTGATAATAGATATTAAAATTAATGCTGTACTATTTATCCAGACCACAAACAGAAAGAATTTGAACTTATTATCTAAGCTTATCGGTTATAAAATAAATTTCAATTCATATTTACAAAGGAACATGTTCAACTGATAGAAAGCCTATGAATTATAGGCTATCGACCAACAAAAGATCGCATAATTTTTGTTCCTTTGAAAAACTATTATATGATGACTTAAAGTTTTCGGTGACAAGGCGACTGATCAATTGAACACGTTCCCTTGTTAGACATTGTAATTTTGATCGCTTACTTGCAATAGTAAACAAAGTCCCCTACTTTCCATATCTCGATTACCATATATAGATCAAAAAATTTCTGTGCACATATTTCACTGTGTATGTCAGGTAATTGTGCTGAAACTTTCACTAAATGAAAATGCCATTCAAATACAGAGAACTCAAAGGCCTGTAGAGGAATATCAAGAATTAGTTATGTACTTGATAACAGATAACAAAAAAAATTGAGCATACTATCTTGAAGTAAAGACAGGTGTTCTTCGTCATTCTACAATTCAAAAACAATTTGTTTGTTCAAAATGAAGAAGAAATATTTCATAAATAAAGAAATATTTCCGAAGACGTAAACAATCACTTTTTTTCTATACCTCTCAGTTTTTGGAGATACATTTTATATAAATGAATATGTTCTCCCAAGATAAGAGGATAAAAATTTCTTTTTCTAAATTCGTCTTACCTGGAATATTACGAAAAGCTTTTTTAAGACCATTATCTTTATCATAAATAATAACTGGACCACGTTTCATTACTGTTCGTCGATTACGCATTTTTCCTTTACCAGCACGTGTATGTTTTGATGCATAAACTTTAAGAATATCGGACCATGCACCAACTTTACGTAAAACTGCGACAGCTTCTTTAGTTTTTTTTAAATCTTGAATTTTATCCGATAAAACCAATGGAATTTCTGGTACAGTTTCAATACTATGACCTAAATTAAGAAATAAAACAACAAGTTGGTTTTTTTTTTTTGCTGTTTAAAATATACCTTTAGCTAAAACAAGTGATGGAATACCAGATGCAGCTATAGCACTAACAAGTGCATAACGTCGTTGTTTTAAATTAATTTTTCTATGCCATCTACGCCATACTTTTAATGGTGCATACATTCGACCACCACGACACATATTACCAAATGCACCTTGACCTGATCGATGTGTACCACCACCACGTACACGTGGAATACGAGCTACAGCACGGCCAGTACCCCATGATTCAGCAGATGTTTGTTCACCTAACGAACAAATAAAATAATACATTTGAATAGAAACAAGAAAAAAATGTCTGGTACCAGCTTTATCACTGACAGCATGGGCTTGTCGTTTATTACGTCTCATTTGATCATGAACAAAATTAACAATATCAGTACGAATTGGAGCACGAAAAACGGCTGGTAAAACGACTGATTTTCCTGTTGATTGTCCTTTTTCATCGTACACACTCACGAGAGGTCGCGAAGCGGCCTATGAATAGATTTAATTATAATTAAATGAATAGATTAAAACAATAAAAAAAAAAGATAAACTATACAAACCATTTCAGCAAAGTCTTAGTTGATTTTAAGTTAAATTCAAAAGCAAGTGAATACTGATGATTACTATTGACCCCCACCGAAAAAAATATGGATTGTTATGAATAAACATTGGATTAGATGTTTAATATTAATTATTTTAGAAAGAATTTCAATTAAATAATGATATTTTTTATTTTTTTAATTCAAATTTTTTAAAGTTAATATAAATGCATTAATATCTTAAATGAAGGCAAATTTCAAGATGTCAGTAGCTCATAGATTCGACCAATCCGATAAAAAAAAAAATCAAACTAACCTTTAACGACGATGACAATTTCTATTCTACTAATTATTTATCAATTTAAATCAGAATAGAATAATTATAAATCAAGTTTAATTTCTTTTGTTTTTAATTCCATGATTGAATCAAGTCTTTAGACAATATATCAAACGATTCAATTTCAACCTTGACACAATTAGTAATCTTAATATATCATAATTAAACTTTATGAAAATTGTTTTAATAATTTTATATTATAATTTAAAACTTCTGACACATTCATAATTCATACATAATTATTTGCTTAAAAAAACAAAGCTCAACGTAGTATTGATAAATTTAATTAATTTAAATTGTAAATTTGTAATCTTTTAGTGATCAATATTAGAAAAAAATTTAATTATGATTACTTTCTCTTTGTTGTTGTTTATTTTTATTTTTTAGATCAGCATCTCAATGAAAATATATTGGAACATCAATGACAACATTTAATTACGATGTAACTAACCTATTTACTGCTATTTGGTTATATACACGATTGTCAATATAAGCCTCATTTTGACACAGGAACTAGTAAAGCGCATTGCATATAACATTAATGTAGATTGTGATATGATGTCTGTTTTTGAAAATTGAAATGCTGTTTATTGAATATGTACCTTAAAAATCATGTTTATTACAATTTGTATTGTAGCGAATATTGTTACAAGCTTAACATCTGATTTTTTTATTGAATTTAAAATAAATTAAAGAATATAATTTAAATTATTTTCTTTTTCTTTTAGATTTATCAAAAGAAAATAAATAGAAAAATTTTAGTAAAGTAAGACATATTGATTGTAACATTTCATAATATTGTTAGTCTTATTTTGTGCAAATACGAAAGTGAAATACATAGAAGATATTTAATTGAATATTATGAAATTTATCTCAAGAATTATAAATTCAGTTTACATGAAGTGATTGTTTGATAATTTGTTTTGAAAAATAATCCGGAAAAGAAAAAAAAAAGATATGCTAAATACTTTTTGCATTTTCTATCAATTAAACAGACACTGAAACGATCTTGATAAATTGTTTTTCATTGATAGTATTGACTTCAGATGACTATGCACGAGATTGATCGATTTTTGAATAGAATACTCTGATTATAGTATAGTAAAAGTACTTGATGACTACTTAAGTATTGAAATAGGGTTTACTTATTCATAGTTTCAAATTGTTCCTCCGCAAAAAAGAAAAACACTAGATGAACATTCTCAAATGTCGTCATGTTTATTCACAATCGTTATAAAATAAGTTGCTTGTATAAACTAGATTAATTCTTTCCAAGGTAGTTCAGGAAATTGCATTTTGTCGACTAAACGAGTGTGTACTGTCAAAAAATAGCGTTTATCACATCTAAACATCGTGTTGAAATAGAAAACAGCAAGAAATCGATCTTCATAAACGGTATTGAAGCGGTAGTATATGTATCTAATCACTGGACGAAGTCATTTCACCATGAAGAATATAGAGTAAATCAAAAAGACCGATATTGTTATGAAAAATGTTATTTTCACATCTTTAATCAAGCATCTTTCAAAAACCACTCTGCAAATAGATGAAACCCATTGTAGTACATATCAATCTTGCTAACATCAGATTAATTAGTCTGTGCAAATAAATAAACGAAAATGAAAACAGATTTTGTTTTTACTTATATGAAAAAACATCGTTTTTCAACTCAGACATCTTACGAGGAAATCTCTCCAACTGGTAACCTTTGCTCGAGCTCATAGATTAGATGAAAAGCTTAGGTCTTTCTTCTCGATTTATGATTATTGTATTGAATTTTCAGCATATTACAGGATATTACAACAAAAGTCACAATAAGGATTTTCCTTCTGAAATTTTGAACTCGAATGAATGTTTCTCTTTTGAAATAACGTGTTTTCAAAAAACTTAACTTTCTCACAAAATCTTTCATAATAGTCTATTTTGTATGTATATCATATCTTATGAAAAAGTCATCCGTTTCAGTTGAAGCTTTCAGAATATAGTAGGGACGATGAAACCTGTTATTACATACAATTTTCGACGGAGAATTCTAATTTCAACAATTTCTGTAATACCATCCTATAATAAGTTAAAAAGTTTCACAAAAAACAACCATAATTTGAGACGCAAGGCTTTACACAATGTTCGGTCAATGTCTCTATCCGATGCATTATTACTTCAAATAGATAGTTTTTATCAATAGTCCAACACGGAATAAAGGATTAATCGTAAAAATTGAATCTATGTTTTAACTGCAGCCATTAACAAACTGTTGTTGTCAACTTATAGGTTGTACACTTTTTTCAATTTTAGATGCATCCAATACGTGGTACAGTTCAACCTTATGCATGGGGTATGATAGGTTGTTCATCACTTGTTGCTCAACTTGCTTCAAAATCTTCTTCAATTATATCTACACAACCGTATGCTGAATATTGGATGGGAACACATCCAAAAGGTGAATCATATTTACTTGATAATAATCAAATAAGCTTAAAATCATATTTAAATATTGATTTACCATTTTTATTTAAAATCTTAAGTGTTGAAACAGCTTTAAGTATTCAAGCACATCCAAATAAAGAACATGCAAAAATTTTACATAAACAAAATCCAAAAGAATATCCAGATGATAATCATAAACCTGAAATGGCTATAGCATTAACTAAATTTGAATGTTTATGTGGATTTCGTTCTTATAATGAAATAAATGAATTTATACAGAAATATGAACAATTACAAATATTATGTGGTAAAAATCTTTCGGAACAATTTTCAAATGCTATATCATCAAATGTTGAATGTTCAATTCAACAATCATTACTTAAACAACTCTATTCAAATTTAATGCAAACATCATCAACAATTATATCAAAATGTGTTAATGCTCATTTAGAATTTATTTCATCAACATTAGATTCAAATATTGAATTATCTCATTTATTTGAACGTCTTAATAAACAATATCCTGGTGGTGATGTTGGTTTATTTTCAATATATTTTTTTAATTATATTACTTTAAATCCTGGTGAAGCTATTCTTCTTAAAGCAAATATTCCACATGCTTATATACATGGACAATGTATTGAATGCATGGCATGTTCGGATAATGTTGTACGTGCTGGTTTAACACCAAAATTTAAAGATATTTCAACATTAATTGATATGCTTGATTATCAACCATTAACTATTGAACAAACAAAATTTACTGGAAAGAATATTTCAGATAATATAATTCAATTTGATCCAAGATCAGTATCAAATATTGATGATTTTATTGTTCAAGAAATCAAAGGAAAAAATGGTTTTATAAATGCAATTGATAAACCAAGTTTAATGGTTATTATTCAAGGACAAGGAACAATGAACGAAGGAAAAGTTTCGTTTAATGAAGCTAGTGTTTTTCTTATTGATAAAGAAACATCTATTGATTTTAAATGTGATAATGATCTTTTAGCTTATCGTGCTTATTCACCTATTTAATAAAATAATCGTTTAATATTTTTATCCTTGAATTAAGATAGTAGATTTTTAAATTTTAGATGTCTTTAACACTATTACTTATATGTCGCCGATCAATAAGTTTATCAAATTTTTCATCAATACGATCATCACTTGTAAGTGTTATTCGATAAGAAATGCAATCATATAGATAGAACTGATACGAATTCTTTCATGATACAACAATATAGGATAGTACCTATATTAAATAATTGATAATTTATCCATAGAAAGAACACAAATAGTCGTTAAGACTTATTTAGAAATGCACTCATATCATTCTGCTAGATGTGAGCGGTAGATGACGTACTCCTTGGACTCTGGAGGTACATGAAATCTAAGCCAAGCGAGAGAGTATAGTGAGTGAACAAGATAACGATGTACTCCTAGTACGCCACACAATCACGTTGTACTTTCACTGTATTCTTATATTTCCTATATCCTAGAGATCGTCAAAGTACGACATTTCTCCTTTGAACACATGTCATAAAAAAAATCAAATAAATGCAATCAACTTGACTTAAATACAAAGCACAGTTTTAGTTGCAAAATGTATCTTTTTTCAAGGATATCATTTATTATAAAAACTGAAGAAAAATTAATATATTATATACGTTTGTCAAAAGAGTTGAAATTTATTTTATTTGACTTACGTACTATGCGTAACCATGTGATTCAAATAGGACCGAAACCATCGGTATAATATGCGCTATAGAGGCAATAGTGTGAACAAATGTACAACATAGATAATTACATAAGATGATGCGTCCTAACAGCACAATAATCTAGCATGCTTAATATATGAAAAATGTAAAGGAAACCCTTTTACCGTAGCTACCATTTCATAGAATAGAAACAAATGAAAAGACTTGAGATTTTCACAAAAAACTATTACCATTAAGATCTGTCTGTACGCAAAAGTTTCAAATCGGTATTGCAAATATCGCTTTTTCTTGAGGGGACACTACGACATCAACTTGAAAAATACGGTAAAAACGCATTATGTTAATAGGAAAAAGCAAATAATTAGTTGAAGATCGTTCTCTTACAAATACCAATTTCATTTGCAGTTATTCTAGTACATTGCTACCCTATAGGAATCAACAAACGCATTACATAAAAGTAATTAGCCGCTATCCCATGTGACAAAAAAACTGTCTAATAATTTTCCCTGAAAACTTTATTAATAAATATTTTAACTTTAAACATAAAGGGTAATACGAAAAAATTTATTTTTAAAAATTCCTTCAGTTGACTTAAAGATTTATAAATTTTATTTAGTTGCGTCCACTTAATTTTTCCCAAACAATATTTCTTGCTGAATCATCAACATTAAAATCAAAATATAGTTCATTAAAACCTTCATCATCATCTGTTCAAAATCCATTTCGTGAGCCAACTGATGAAAAATCTCGTCGTCTTAAATTACAAGAACATATTCGTTTTCGAGAAAAATTTCAATTAGAACAAGATTATGAATTAATATATACTATGCCTAGACAACGAATGTATAGTGCAATGCATTTATTATGTACATGTGGTAGTATAGCAATGTTAACATTTATTATAATTCATTTTCATCGTGAAATGCTTGATATAGAACCATTACTTGATGATATTAATCAAAATATACCATCATGGATTCTTTATTCGATTGCAGCTATGATTAGTTCAGCTTTTGTAGCAGGTTTGAATTACATGTTCTTTTTTATTCTTTGAGTTTTAAATCTTTTCTTTTGTTGTTTTTAGTATTAGTTCTTTTTTCTCGAATGCCAATTCGATTGTATTATTCACATGTTCGTCGTTCATATGCATTATTTTATCATCCCGTTATAGGTGTATTACGTAAAAAGAAAATTTTATTTCGAAATGATCAATATAAAATAATTCCACAAAAATTAGATAGTATTGAAGCACCACAACGATCTATTAAAATTCGTATGGACTTTGGTGCAGGTTTATTTAAAACGAGAAAGAGCTTTTATTTAATTGAAACTTTATTTCGCTCAAAACCTGATATTCAAAGAATTAAAATAAAAGATATTAAAGACAATGAAACAATAAATAATGAAAAAAATAAAGAACAATATCCAACACAAGAAGAAACTGATATTTGGGAAACAGTTGTTGAAAAAAAAAAATAAACATAATAGTAAACAAAAATCATCATAAAGAAGGACTTTTATGTAATAATCTTTTATTGTTCAAATAAAATTTTGTTTAACAAAGCAAAATGTTTTGCAGTGACAAAAAAAATACAATCTATATCATAGTCTTTGAATTATTTTCTTATTATGTCAGTTATCAACAGAGTTAGAGAAAGACTGCTGACCAGACATATTCAGGATCAAGTTTATTTGAGTCCTGATTTCGGTAGCTTCTTTTTAAACACGTTCAATCGTACACACAATGAATCTAATTAGTATGTTTCTGGTCGCGCATATGTGTACTCATGTGCAGCAGTTACTGAAAAAAAGAAAATGATTAGCAAGTGCAACTACACATCAAATCATGTTTTTGAATAAAACTTTAGTTTATTTAAAATGATTTTGTGAATCAAATGAGAAACGATCATCAGAAGAAATAACTTCTCCATTATTTATTCCAAGTGAATGTGTATTAGCAAAGGATTTCACAGTGGGCAACCACGCAGACATATAAATAATATATATATTATTTTCTTTCAATATAAATAATATATATATTATTTTCTTTCAATATAAATAATATATATATTATTTTCTTTCAATATAAATAATATATTATAAAAACAAAAAAGAAAGAAAATGTCTCTTACTCCATAGTAAATTATCTATTGAATGTAATGATCTGACAAAATAATGTTCTCTTAACCAATGTAGAGAAAAAGAAAGAATGATTATATTGTCTGGACGAAAATATATTTGTAATAAAGATGTCTGTCTCCTTGTATATGTCAGCGTCCAAACTGAGATTACGTCCAATCTCAGATTGCCCTAGGCGAATGTCGGATCCGACATTGGACGCGTTCAATCTCGGATTGACGCAATTCTGTTCACTAAAATATCAATTACTCTTTAGATAGACGTTGGATTCGAATTGCTTTTTGGAGTTATGTTCACACAATGCCTGTTTATTTGGCACAATTGTCATTTGGTAGATTTCAGTAAAATTTTAGGAGTTATGAATAAATTTCTAGAAAACCACAGCTTTGATGAAAAATTTTTATTAAATTTTTTAATGTAAATTTAGCTTCTTCCTAAATCCTTGTAATACTTAAAACGGCATTGTGCGAACATAATTTCAAAAAAAATAGTTCCGATCCAACGTCTATCTAAAGAGTAATTGAGTTTTTAGTGAACAGAATTGTGTCAATCCGAGATTGGGCGCGTTCAATCTCGAATCCGACATTCGCCTAGGCCAATCTGAGATTGGACGTAATCTCAGTTTGGACCCTGACATATACATTATCTTGCCTGTGTGTGACCTTTTTTCTTTTTTTTGTTCTTATAATCTTCATCTAAAAGCAAGACGACTAAACAAACGAAGAAAAACAACGACAATCAATATAATATCAATCCTCATTGATATATATTCGACATCAAAATTTTATTTATTATTCATCAAACAAATAATCTATTTATTTATATTGATTATTAGTTTTTCACAAAAAAATGAACAAGTGAAGATATTATTTGATTTTACAATTCAGTTAAAAGTTAATTATGAATTTTATGTAGTAAAAAAACAAATGAAATTCGACAAGTAAATTTGTTTTGTCTGATAGATATTATTTCATCTGGATTTGTTGTTTTCGATAATCTTTTATTTTTTCGTTTAGTTTTGAATCTATTGATATGACTAAAAAAATCAGATTGTTTTGAGTAACTATTAGATTTAAATCTGTTTGAAATCATTTATTTATAATAATGACAAAAACATGTCGAATATATATAAGAAAATTTCCTTGTTATTTTACTCAATGTTGCTTCATTTTTTCGATAGACTTTTTTTTCAGAACAATTTTACAATTTTATTTCGATAAATAGCCAGAGATATTTTATTAGACATATCAGACATCATGGAACACTTTTTTTTCTCAGCACAATTCAATTAGAAACAAAAATAACTTTATTTACGTGTGTTTTTGTTGTTTTGACAAGATATTTCTCAAAAGAATATATTTTTCGAGACTTAATCATTATTTTCATATGAATAAACTACTTTCAACAATTAATAGAAAACGACAATATTCAATATAAATTATGACAATTCTATTTAAAGTTCTAATGATAAGATTATTTTCGATGATCTTCTATAAATTATTGTAGCATTTTCCTATATGGATTAGAAGTTCGTCTTGAGAGAGACATCAGTCAATTAATTTGCTAGAAAAATAAGAAAATCTTCCTTATAAAAATCATTTAAAGATCTTAGGTTTTTTTTGACTATAATTAAACTAACGAACAAAAAAAAGTCTGAGATAAAATTTTTCTTACGAATGAAAATGAAACTGATTATCGAAATTATAAATATATATTTGAGATTTGTATAAAGAAACTTATGCCAATAGCGAACAAACAAAGATTTTATTAATAAAATATTTAATTAGGAAACTCTTGACGTGCAACTTCAAAACAAAGTATTCAACTTGATTATGCAATATTATTCTTGATAATAGAAATGATTTTACTCTTATAAGATCAAATTTTATTGACACATGATACTACATTAAACTTGTTCATTCATATTCATTCTCGTGTGATCGAATATAAAGTTATTTGAATAGTTTGCCATTACCCATGTAAAAAAACTAAATCTAATGTATATGAATTAATTTTTTGTTAATAGAAATTCTATAAATAGAAATCGACATATATCTATTAGATAAAAATTGTAAACAGGATGTGGGTGTGGATAACAAGCACACATCCACATTCAAATGAAATATTGTGATTAATTAAGAAAGCCTTGATGAGTCCATCAAGTATCATTTCAATATATGATGCACTCGATAACAAAAAAAATTTTTTTTTTTATTTCTTTATCGAGTGCATCATATACTCGGTCCTGTCATGGCTACTCTTTTAAAGATTTATTAGCATAATCGTTAGATAGTTTCGTTTTTGACAAGTGTTGATACTGATTAGTTTAACTATTGATGTGAAATCTTCAACGACAATACTATCAAGTTAACTTGATCAACAATCGTGAAATTAATAAATTTGCATAATCCAATGTCTATTACAATTTCCAAAAGAATCGTTCAAATCTTTTCTTATATCTTGACTATAGAACTCATTTGATTTTGAATATTATATTTTCTAGCAAGATGTTTACTTCCTTCTATTTGATGTTGCAAGCTGATAAATGTATAATCATCATCGAAGCTAAAATCAACCTCTCTATCATAAAAAACAATATAACTGTCACACATTTCTGATTGTATGATAGTCACAGCATTAATCTGTGACTTGGATTTCACTTTAAGGTGCACAATATGATAACTTGAGCTATGAAATAATTTTAAATATTAACTATACTTATCTTTAAATCTTTATTCTCAAAGAAAAAGAGAGAATAAATAGCAACAGAAAATTTAGTGTTCGAGAGGAACTTTACATTCTTCGGCGATCTGTTTTGCCATTTGATGATCAATAGTTGTGCCCGATTTTGTTAATGCCAATATCTTTTTGCCATATTCCTCCCATCGATTACTCATCTCTTGGTCATCCTAAAACAAAGTAAAATTAGGTTCTTATTTCTTAGTGCAAGCTGTCAACACTATGGTAGCTTTCTACAGGCGTGATTTTGACAAAAAAAAAAACTTTTCTCATTTGAAAATCATAACTTCTATATAACACCATCGTTAAGATTGCTTGAAAAATGTATTAGGAACGTTTTG